ATCTGGGATTACCATGTCTGTTAAATTTTTCTTTCTTCTTCCTTCGTTATTCTTTTTTGAGACAGCGTCTCCCTATGTAGTTCAGGTTGGCCTTAAACTCACTCAATAGCCTAAACTGTCCTTGAAAACATGGCAATCTTCCTACCCTGGAGTCCTGAGTGCTAGGATTACAAGGATGTGCCACCACCTCTATTTTTTAAAAATGTATTTATTATTTTTTAAAATGTATTTGGTTGTTGCAGGGTCTCACTATCAGCTCAGACTTGTGCTGATCCTCCTGCCTTCAGCCTGCCCAGTGCTGGAATCACAGGTATGTGCCACTAGGCCTGGACTCTGGGGGGGCTCAGCCCACCCTGGGGGAGGGGCTGGTGCTGCATGTGGTGCCAAGGATTGAACTGTGGTACCTGTGCTTGCCTAAGCTTGCCTATGCAGGCGTTTTATAGTCTGCTCAGTTATATAGCCAGCCCACAAATCTATTAATTCTGAACAAAATTCTTAACATTTCTGACATTGGAGGATGTAAACTATATTACAGAGACTTGTGTTCTATTATCTTCTCTAAAGTGATTTTTTAAATTTAGTTTTTTTTTTTTTTTTTTTTTTTTTTTAGTAAGCATTTCAGTAACTGAGTATTCACCTAAATGTGTGTATTTTAGCTCATATCGATGGAAAGCCCACAGTTTTCTAAGTTCATTGTGGCAGGATCCAATCGCTACACACTGTCTTCCTTACCAATACAGTGGTACTTTGGTTCATGAACTTAATTTGTTCCACATTTCTTAAAAAGATGGCCACACTCATGTCCACGCAGGAAAGATGGGCTCAGGTGTGGTTGCAAACAAAAATATTAGCAAACTGAGGCACCACTGTGTGGTCAAGGGCTCAGTGTTAGGCTGCATCAGGGAAGGTGTAGAATGTTGTATAGAATTGTAGATAGTACTCCCTTAGGGCAGTTGTGATGACCCTATGGCACACAGGTCAGTGTGTTTTTTTGGATAAAATATGTTAATGTATGAGTTTTTTCTACACTAAAACTTTAATATTTAGGTTTAATTGCAGAGTTGGCACTTTGCCATAAGTGGGCTTTGGGTTGCAGTTTGGGTGCTCATCTCTAAGAGATGATCTTGCCTTCTCTGTTGTAGGGGCCTTATTTTTGCTCCTCCCAAGAAAACTACAGCCTTTCTCTCCTCCTGATCCTCTTTTCTTTTTTCGAAATCAGGGATTGAACTCAGGTCCTTGCGCTTGCCAGGGAAGCACTTATTCTACTGAGCCATTTCCCCGGCCCCCAATCCCCTTTTTGTGCAATGCTAGGGACAAAATCCAGGGGCTTGCACTTGCTAAGCAAGCTCTGTCATAATCAAGTAGTCCTAATTGAGCACGTGTGTATAGCTAAGCCCTCAGCTATGAATATTTGGGGACTCTTACATGAATTTTATTTTTTTGAGACAGGGTCTCACTATGTAGTTCAGGTTGGCCTTGAATTTACTACACAGCCCATATGGGCCTTGAACTCAGTGATCCTCTTGTTTTAGCCTCCCAAGTGCTGGGATTATAGGCATGCACTACTATACCTGGCCCCCTTTCTATGAATTTCTGAAGATGTATCTCTGAACAGTTCCCCCTTCTGTGTCCCTCCTCATAGGTTCCAACATTTGAACTGTTCCCCATTACAAGGTCTAGCTTCTCAACTCTGAAGATCATTTTGCTGTGCCTCTGGCCTTTTCACACCACAGGATGCTAGGGACCATGAGGTTCATTGGCTGTTTCTCTTCTTAGACTGCAGTCTTGTGCTGAGTACAGCTGCCTAAGGTGTCTTGTCTAGTCTTATAGTTGCTACTAATCCAAGAGGGCCTAGTCACATTGTTCCATTATGGCCGGTGGCATTATTCCTTTCCTCATACTGTATTCTCATGTGAAAATCAGGGAAAAGCAGTAGCCCCTTTCAAGTAGCAAAACCAAGAAAATATTTTCTGAGCTGGGCATGCTGTCTCATACTGTAATCTCAGCTATGCTGGAGGTAGAAGCAGGATGATGCAATTTTGAGACCAGTCTGGGGAAGTCCAAACAGATTCTATCTCAAAGTAAAATAAAGCTGGCTGATGATGCAATGTAGTTCAGTGGTAGAGTGCTTGCCTAGCAGGGATTCAATCCCCAGCATGGGTTGGGGAGGAGGAGGGGGAGATAAAAAGAAAGGAAACTTCTGGAAGCCACAGTTAGAGCTGGGAAGGGAGAAATGGTCTGAGAGTCAAAGTAACAAGTAGAGAAAAGCAGAAATGGAAGTTGTTGAAACAAAATCTTGGCAGCATTCTGTTTTCAGTTGTCTTCATTTTTCTTACATTGACCATTACATTTCCTCTTTTGAGGGGTGTTCATTGTGAAGCCAGTCTAAAAAGGAACTGGTTTGGGCTTGATGTGAACCATGAGAACTGCAAACTGATGGCCCCCATGTGACACTAAGACTCAGTCAGCTTTACCTCATTGGGGCCACGGGGCCACCCACAGGGAGCGGAAGCTTCTAAGGTCAGCAGAGAAGAGAGCTTCCTGCTTCTCACAAGTGCTTTTTCAGGGGGGGCTTTTTTTTTTTTTTTAAGATTTTATGTATTCATACTGTAGCAAATTTTGTTATTAACATGACTATACAGATGATAAAAGATACAATCTTAATTTAGTATAAAAAATAAAGCAACAGGGGCCGGTGAGATAGCTCAGCAGTCTAAAGTGCCTGCTTAGGAGAGCTTAGGCAGGTGCTGGGGCCTAGGTCAATCCCCAGCACATGCTGCACCAGCTCTGCCCTTATGGTGAGCCAGGCCAAAAAAAAAAAAAAAAAA